CGGATCTTAGATTCATTCAAAACAGGCGCAAGATGGACCATCATGAGGAATCGGTCTACTATCACAAGGATGCCATTGCGCCCAAGAAACACGCGGGAGTCCAAATATGATGTCCGTATTTACAGATTTCTAGCTCTACAAACGACCGAAGTGGAATTCAAGTGGAACCCGATGGTCTCACTCTCTGGCAAATTTTGCAAGTCCTCACATCCTTGCGGATCTACTTATGCATGTGGGACCAACAATAACCGCAGGCTAAACTAAAAGTGTTTTCTCACGTCCTAGATAATCATCCGAAGGACTGTCTTGGCAGATAATGACATAAAACTTTGTCATTAGAAACAACAACTGTTGCTGTATCCCCGTGTTCAATCGAAAAGTACAACAATTCATTGTGTAGTCCAAAACAATGAGCACATAATATTATGCGAGACGGAAGACATTGCAGTGATTTGTCGGAAAGGTCCTTGGAGTACCTCAACAAGACCTGACATATATAATCATACTTGTAGCCCTTGACAATTTCTTTGCGTGCTGCAGTCATAGCTTGCACGCTAATCATTTGAACATCGTCGCATTGTCACATTGTCGACATGACACGTGCATACGCTCGCTCCTGGACTTTAAAATAGTCCGGGCGATTTGACAACGCATCGGCTACGACGTCCGCCTTGACTGGCTAGTCATGTACCGTACGAGCGAGGTATGATCCGTATAGATCGCGAAGCGCTACTCTCTAGGCAACTACACACGAATCTTGACCAAAGCATGCTGACAAGCACCATGTGATGATCTTCTGACCTTTTCTACTCAGCGATCTTCTTTAAAGGAGTCGTTAGGGGTTGTTTAGTTGCGCGTGCATTTGTGCAAAGAGCTGACAAAGCCATCCATCGTCTACGCTGTTTCAAATTGTTTGACACAGGTCAATCATCGATTCAAGACGCTGAATGAAGCCGTCAACCGTGCGATGCAAAAAGAAGTCAGCATCAAGCAAGCCAAGGTCAATGTCTTCGTACCAAGACAAGCGCGTCAGTCAGCTGCTACAAGTGATGGCCCGTAGTCAATGGACGTATCGTACATTTCTAGGCTGGGAAACGACATATGGAAAAAATGTATGGAGTTAGCTGACTACAGCAGCTTCTCCAATAGCCTCTGCATTCGCTCAAGTTCTATTGAACATTGTAATTTGCCATTTTTAGTAGCCTATTTTTAATAATGAGCCGGTGCCGAGTGTCGGAAACTTTTCTCTCTCATCAAGTCTGCTATACAATTTGGACAGAAGAGGGCGACAACAACGTCACACTGTTTTTGGCGAGGGCTATTGCCGTTTGGGTCAATATTTGGTTCCCGGATACAAATCATAATCATGACGCACTCCTTTTGATACGCGTGGTAGATCTCTCGGCACCACGTCGTAAACTCACTTCAGCATATAATAAAAATGATGTGCAGGATTTTTTACAATATCTGTTTAACCCTTCGCTCAGTGCTATGTAAGTGTCCCAATGATAAATTTATTCATCCCGATTGATGAGTTCGGCTCCACCTCTGGCACCAACCATATCATATGGTGATCTCATCGTCTTGTAGATTCTTGAATATATCCCTGAGAGTCAAACTGCCAACTTAATTAGCACTTCTGCTGAAGGTAGTGAGGAGAGACTCACAATTTCTACGGCTACTTCGGTCACTGTATTCACAAGCATAGAATCTGCTCGCCACTAAGCCGGGGAGCTTCACTGATTCGCACTATACGACTGTCACGAGGAAGTGCTGACCCAGTCATATCGTTAAAATTGTGGAAAGGATGGAGCATCCTTCTTATCTAAAGGTATCTCTGGCGGGACGGTTACGATCAGTGGTGAGCTGTTGCTATTTGTGCCAGGGCTGGAAGAGTGCGGAAGCAACTGCTTCACAGCTTTTCGTGCCAGGACTGGAGATGCTGAAGGGCGACTAGAAGTCGTAATTAGAAGGCCAGGATCCACTCATGTAACGGTCTTCGCTTATACAAGATCTTGCATGTAAGGAGCTTGAACTTCGAAAAGGTTGAATAACAGAAAAGTTCCCGGTAACGACAGATACACGTTTGTCTCGCACCAGTACAAATCCCCAGATGTGAGCCAGCATTCTGTATCACACAGAATGTTTGTGAATTTATAGAAAATGTCACACATGCATGTGGGAACACCATCCTGTAATTTTTTATACACTTCTTAGAATGCACACAAAAGATAATAGATTATCCTTCATGGTATGACTAAGTGTCACCCATAGCAGTATGTATCTACGATCTTCTTAGACTTTAAGGAAGTGTATTCGTTTAACAATATCTCTTGATAGAATTGTCTGTATTTTTGACGTCCAGAGTGTAACGGGGTTTCATGTGCCCTGGTATGAAGGATGTGGGTCACACAATGATACGGGTTACACAAGATGGCGTGACCACACAATGATGAGGCTACGCTTACACAACAAGTCAGTACGAGGCTGGAGCAGCCAGTAGTTATACATTTAATTAGGTGTACTATATAGATAAGAACACCTATAGATTTAGATATAGGCGGCTTTGCCGCAAATAAAACCGAGAAATACAGTCAACGTTTTAAAAGGAAGAGTTAATAAGCCTTGGGTTAAGGATGTCATTATTCTTGGAGTAAGTGGCTTGCGATTTGCTACACTCGTACTGATTCCAAGTATGGAACGAAGCTCACCGACCTTAACTAAGCTTCTCTAAACAAAAGAGCTACTGCAGCATCGCTACAATTTTGGTCAGGGGTCGTGACACTCCGCATTGTTTGCACTGTACTTGCGCGAGTAATCGGTCAGGTCAAGCCACTGTCTAAAGTTCTGAAAGAACGGACAGATCCACAATGGCATTATCTCTGAAGGAGCTGTCTAAAGGCACTCCTTCCTCATTATGCAACTCGAATGGGGATTTTGTCGGTGTCAACGACACACTAGTCTGTTTTGGTGGATATATGATCCACTCGTCTTTTTCTCGCAAGTAATAAGCGTGGTTCTTTACATTTAATCTCCGTTCTCAGCATGACTTTGGACGAATACATCGACGAAATAGTTTTGTGCATAGCATCGATGTGGCATAGCAGCTGTGCCACCAAATGATTCGACGTCAATGGTGAATTAGATTTTCCCGGTGGCATAACGGGCCACCTCCAAAGCATCCCGCTCAGACCATTAAAAGAACTCGCTACTTTTTCTTTCACAGTCGATGACATTCATAAAAGTCATGAGCACTAAACAAAGTACAGTGAACCATGCTACTCTGCAGTACATTCTTTCTAGAAATCGGCGTTTGCGCCGGAATCGTGGCAGATTTTCAGCTGATTATAAACACGAACAATTCGCTCCTTGAGGCAAAGCTTTTCTACACAGGGAGTAGGAGCCAAGAGAGAAGATTTACTAACTCTCAATCAATTCTCTTCTTAATTTGCATAATGAAGAAGTCGATGACATAACAGGTTTGTATGCTGCGATATCTTCCTAGTGATGCACTCATCTTTCCAGGTGGTATAGGCGTCGTGTGTTTCACGTGAATTCTTAGACTAAGGAGGATTCGTAGAATTATTGAGTACAGCTGTTCTACTTGAGCTCTGGCAAGTATTCAACCCATTATGGCAGGGGTAGAGACGCTTTGGCGCGTGAACGAAGTTGTGAAAGCCTCAGTGTGGGATGATAAGATTTTACGAAATTGATAGCAATGGTACTGCTAAGTATCTCGAGCAGAGCTTATTGGTTAAAGCGGCAATGAGTTGCGGACCATAGGATGGTAATGTCTATCGCGGTATCCTGAGTGATCTCTGGTGAGATTTAAAAATATGCGCAGGGAATTGGAAGACGGTGAAGACACAGAGATGGTACGGTTGGATCTGGAGAAGGTCAGCTCTCAGATAAATCTGTCATTGAGGACACTCGCGAAGAAAGGAGCGTGAGAAGTACGATAGGATTTATAGGCTGAATGGGGCAAACAAATAAAATTTTACTAGCAAAAACTTTTTAATTTGTCTTCATTGAAAATGATGAATAATACTTCGACTCAAATTTATTTTGATATATTTTGCACACGCAGGTATGAGAATATAAATACTATTTTTTGGTCCTCAGCTTTAGACATCGCGTTTTTAAGAATAGTACTGAAAGAATCGTGTCATCGCTGTAAGTGCGGCAGCCAACCACGTGTAATTCCAAATCCAGCGTGAATACTTACAATTCGGCTGAACGAACAAAGCAACAGACTCTGTTGTGTAAAATATGCTGCTCGCCATAAGTGTCTCCAATAAGCTTAAGAATTCCGAGAGGTTAACATTCAGATCTATAGTACATCCGCTTGATCTTCAGCTACAGCTTCGTCTGACACTGCAATACAATCAGGTTCAATCCCTATTGAGCAGGAAAGTATACTCAAGTCAAGGCGAGTATTCAGCCGAACTACAAAGCTTTCGGACAATACTATCATCTATTTAAAGTTATACCAATCTGCATATTTTAATTAATACAAAAGTTCAAGAAGTGAAGAAATTTATTTGCACATCGTATATATCAATTATTATTGTTACTATTGTGTAGTTGTAATAGTAATCTATGAACAACTCAGGTTTGGCGCATGTTGAATCAGATTTCTAAAAGTGACATTTCTGGCAGGTCAGAATAGATTTCTGTAATATTCCTTAAAGCAACCCTAGTCTCTTCAAGTTCTTTTTCTGTTCCGTACCACATTGCAGTTTGGTATCTCTGAAAATTTATGTTTGCTGCATAAAAATATCCGGCAGACATAGAGCAACTTATCAATGCGAAAAAACCATCCGTATTTCTAATAAAAAATCAATATGTACGATGAAATCTTATGTCCGCAAGTTCAAGCGGACTTTCGAGCAGATCAGTATCTGACAATCTGTTGCTCCGTACATTTTATTGACTTTTGGTTTGAGATCAATTGGTTCTCCTTTCGACCCATTCATTCCAAAATTTTCTTCACCATCAACATGTTCTCAATTATTGCTGGACTTCTTGCCTTCATTTCTCACTTTCAACTCATTCAAGCTCAAGATGTTCTCGAAGCAAAACCTGGTTCTTCACTCTTTCAACAATTTCGACCAGTTTACCATTTACTTGCTCGTGAAAAATGGATGAATGATCCATGTGCACCATATTACGATGAATTGACTGGTTTGTATCACATTTTCTATCAATTGAATCCAAGATCTACAATATGGGGAAATATGACATGGGGTCATGCTGTTTCAAAGAATCAAGTGACATGGAAAGATGCTCCAAATGCATTGTATCCATTTGAAGACAAATGGGATCATCTTGGCATCTTTTCGGGTTTTGCTATGACAAATGCAATTGATAATAAAAACACTGTCTTTTATACTGGAGTGACTGCTCTTCCGATTAATTGGAGACTCAAGTATCTTTTTGGTGAGCATGTTATGTATGCGACTACTGAAGATGGTGGTAAAACATGGGAAAAAGGTAGTGAACCATTGATTGAATTACCACCTGAAGGTCTTGAAGTGACTGGTTGGCGTGATCCAATGCCATTTCATTCGCAATCTTTGGATTCACATTTTAATTATAATGCTTCAGAAGGAAGTAATTATCTTCTTTTAGCTGGTGGTGTTGTTAATGTTGGTCCTCGTGTCTTTCTTTATCATGCTCAAGATTATGTGAATTGGGAGTATAAAGGTTTTCTTCTCGCCCCAGAAAAAGATACAAAGTTTTCATTATATAGTGAAAGTTGGGGATTTAACTTTGAGACGACGATTTATCGAGAAATGATTGATGAAGATGGTCAAGTTCATAATGTCATGTTTTTTGGTGTAGAAGGTGAACCAGATCGATATTCAATGTGGGCAACAGGTTTGTTCTCGAGCTATAACGTGGATCAGGAATCTGAAGTTGATCTTGGTCTCTTTACTCCACTTATGGTTGGTGTTTCCGATCACAGTAAT